GGGGGGGGGGGGGGGGGGGGGGGGGGGGGGGGGGTTCTTAAAATGCTGCATCAACCAACTTGTCGATGAGTTTGGGATTGCCTGGATCAGGCAAATCCAAGAAAGGGTTAATCCCGGAACCGGGCTAAGCGTGTTACATGAGCCGGAGTTGAACTTCAGAATTACTGTTTTCCGTTTCTCACCCAAGCCCAGTGCAACAACTGTGGTTCAACTCACGCTTATCAACAGCCTGCGGAAACCCTGTTACAGTTTTATCACGGACGAAATACTGTTTGAACCCAGTGAGATGTGTAGGTGTGAGAGTGTGTGTGCGTGTGTACAATGCGTCAAGTCACTGTTGACTCAGAGTGACTGCACAGATATTCTCCATGAAGATACATCTACACACGCACCCACAGAGCTCCTCTGTGCACCATGCTGAAAAGGTCTTTTTTTTTTAAGCCACGTTTCTAGACCTTATGATCAGGAAGTCGAACTGGAACGGAGGAGAGCCAACCTTTGCGATTCTCCCCGCCTCCAGAGGTCAGTGGGATCGCTTCTCCTCCTGTCTTGAACTGCACACAATAAAGGTGGGCTTTCAGACTAACAAACCAAAATCCAGGTCTTTCCGTCCCCCTTGAGAGGAGTAGATGAAACGCTGCAGAGGCACAAGCTTTGCCCTGCGCAGAGCCCACTCCCAACCCGTTCTTGTCTCTCCAGCTCATGAAGGAGATGGGAAACCAGACGCAACGCTTTCTCTCGCCTCTTAAGGCCAGCGCTGGCCTTGGCATTTAAAAATTATCAGCCGTGCTTAAGCACTGACCGCCCTGCATGGCTTAATTGCTTTAGCCTGTGCTTAAGACTAGGTGCCCATTAGGCTGGCAATGACATCGCTCCCTTGATCTGACACCTGGAAGATGACCGGCACGTTGCTTTTGTTATGCCCAGGGCTAAGCCAATGGCAACCGTCCCCTCGGCTCAAAACCAGACGCCAGAGAACGCCGCTTGGCACACACATTTCGCTGATTAAAAGGGGGGGGAGGGAAGGCAAGGAAAAGGGAAAAAAAGCTGTTTATTTGGCGGAGAGGCATTTGGCGCCCTTGGATATCAAGTGGTAGAACACTGCATAATCCTTTTCAATAGCGTGGCAGAAATGTAATATATGTATGCACACACCCACATAATCTGGCTTTGCCTTTCTAGAACACTGTGTGCGGCCGGGAGGTTGCTGCTGCCAACCGACGGGCAAGGGGGGACAACGGAGCCCGGGTGTCCTCCTAGGGTGGAGTCCAATGGAGCTCCAGAAAGGGTCGATATCTTTCCACAAACCACAGGCGTGGAGACGGAGTGGTGGACGTGCCCTGGAAGGATGGAGAGGCCCAGCCTCTTCCCTGGACCTCGGGGGCATGGGGTGGTTGTCACCTCTAATAGCTAACCTACAACATGGCTTCCTGCCTAGGTAGATGGCAGGGAGAGTCTGCAGGATGAAGGTGGGGTCCTTCCATGCCTGAGAGATGGAGGAGAAGTATAGGAAGATCAAGAAGATTCAGTAGGAACTCCAGCGTGGGTCCTACGGGGGATTCGTTACAGCCCTAGATTCTTCAGGGGTAATGCAACTGGGGGAATGGGAGTTAGGTAGGACAAAGAGCAGGTTTTGTCTCATTTCTGCAGGTGGACATTGAGAAGAGGAGGAGAGGCAGATCCTGGGAGGAGCATCTCTTCTTTCCATGTGGAAGGACCTCCCAGATGCTGCTGACATCACTGATTGTCCCCTGTATGCTCAACCAGAGACACCCCTCCATCAACCAGCCACACACCCTGCCCTGAGACAATGGGACATTAGTCTCACAAGTTGTTCCCCTTAGCCAGTCTAACTCTTTCTTCTACAAGATGGTGCCCTGCAGCTGTTTGGGGCCCAAAGACTGCTGAGGAAAAAGGAGCAATCCAACACGGACCACAGGGTGCTTGACTGACCAGGGGCTGTACACCCCACACTTAGCTATAACACCTGTTTTACACAAGAGTTGAGTTGAGTTGGCTCAATACATTAAGCCATACTGACAACATGGCTCGACACCAAGGGGAACTTGATAATTTATGGCATCCTCTGGGGGGAAACTTACCGGTTTCTCTGGTGACATAACTGATGAAACACTCCGTGGGATTTTGGCACTGAAGTTCCCTATATTAGGGAAAGGGACATCAGTTGGATGCAATGGAAAAACATCCGAGTGCAGTGCATTTCTTCCCACTGGCTGGAAGGAAAACTGCTCTCCCTACCTTTGCTCTTGGCTGCGGTGTCCTTCTCGGTGGAACAGGTTGTGTTTTCTGGCGTGGTTGGGTTGAATCTGGCCATTTCCCAGGATGTGTTCCTGGGGCTTGAAAGATAATTGATCGGGTGGGAGCAGTTCTGGAACAACAGGAGAACAGAAAATCTGGAGGAAGAGGACCTTCCCCGAAGTCTGGAAGAGGCAGAAAAAGCCTTCTGAGATGCTCAAAAGGCAGGTGGGCATCCATAGGGTGCAAACAGTGGACTGGATCCAGATCCAGGCAGTCCTCCTCTGAGCTGACCCATTGAAAGCAATGGGATGGAAGTTGGTTTTGACTAACCTGATTTCAGGGGTAGGAGAGAAGGGTCTGTTCTATCTTTGGATCCAACCTCCCACCGCTTTGAAGGCAGGAAGTTAGTACCTCTGGGAGAAGGCTAGACTAGGCATGCCTCCTGTAGATGCTAGCTTTCTTTAGAGAGGGAATGTGCAGATTCCCAAAGAGAAATTCTACTGGACCAGCCTCAGAAGAGGCCTTTCTTATCTGGGCAGCAGAAACCCACATGTTCACTAGATGGCAGCCAAGGGACACAAACAGCTCCAGCATGTTGCTGCCCCATATTGGCCAACCCATTTTTTCCAGTTCATTGATGGAAGGATCTGGAAAGACCTTCTTGGAATGGTGGGCAATAAAGACTGATGGACAGAGAACCAAGGCAGCCCTGAATTTTCAGAAAGCCCAGTTGGCCTAGTAGATAGGCCTTCATGGGAGTAAAAAGGGCTACTTCAGAGTAAGAACTCTCCTTGTGAGTAAAACTCACAGGAATGCAGAGGGCTGACTTGCAGCTGGACTTCAACTGCAGCTGGGCTTCAATTAGAGCCTAGGTTATAACACCTTGCAGTTCAGACTTGCTGGATTCTGCAGTGGTGGTATCTAACCCTAACCCATGTTTCTGCCATTATGTGGTTTTGTTCCCCTTTTATTTCCCGGATTTCTCTTTGATCCTAACTTCCTGGTCCAGGTTCATGTCAGAGCTAACTCCTGGATGTTGGCTTCAGAAAAGGCTCTGCTCACCAGGTACCTGAGTTCTTCTTGGCTCTTCTTCTTTGGTCTATTGGGCAAGCCTTTCTAGATAGAACACTAACCCTTGAATAACACAAGAGGAAGCACATCTTTGCCTCCTTCTGCAAAAGGAACCAAGAGGGGTGTAGTACAGGGCGAACTAATTCACTGTGAATCTACCCCCCTCAGGTGCAGCTTGCTCAGGTGGAACCCAATACTTCTGCCTTGATTGAGGTGGTATCTGAAAGGCCTGAGGTGAGACTCTTCTTATGGTTTTGCTTAGGAATTCTGCACTGTGTGATTTATTGATGCACGGAAAGGAAAGAAGGGTGATGGTGCCCCTTGGCTGGCGTGTCCTTGGAGCCTTGAAAGGAATGAGAGTGTGTCATCGCAACCCTCAACTGCTTGTCTCTGCAGCTAGAAAAGTCTTGGGGCCCCAGACAGTTCAGAAAAGGACAAATCAAATGGCAAGGAGTAGACTGTGAGTACAGGCAAATGGGCCACCACTGTAGAAAAACCTTTTCCAACTTGGTGCCCCAGATGTGGTGGGACTCCAACCCCCATAATTCCCTTTGGCCACACCAGGTGGAATTCTGGGGAGGACAGCCCCAGCACATACGGAGGAGGCCAAGTTGGAATACATTGGCCAAAATGAAATTGAAGGTGGAGAAGGATGAAAGATAGTCTTCTGGTTTCTTCAGACCTACCGTGAATGAGAGGGCTTTCTTCTTCTCCCTCATCCTCTGGATGGCATTCCGCACCTAGATATGGAACACAAACAGAGGTTGGCCTCTTGGTCCAGAGCATCCACACCGATGTTCTCCTGGACACAGGAGGGCCCCATGTGTGGAATCCAGATCAGACTCATGTTCTGTGAGGTTTCCTAGTGCAGGGAGGGAGAAATCTCCCCATTCCATACTGAAAGAGCAGGGAGCTGGGGAAGGCTTCTCAAGACTTTCTCCTTGAGAACTGGGGGAGGGGGCATCCTTGAATGACATCTCTAGGTGATGCTAAACTACATCACCCAGCATCCCTCACTGCCTGCCACGTGGGATGGGGCTGCTGGTAGATGCTCTTTAGCAACATCTGGAATCCTGTAGGTTTTATGGCCATAGTTTTTCTCCCTTTTACACATAAGGAGAAAGGAAAAAAATTCTCATATTGATCAATGCTAGTCTTGAGTTTGTATTCCTATCTGTATTCAATACAGTTGAATTATTGCTACTTAAGTTTGTGCTTGCAAAAAAAGTGAAATGAATCATACGGATTAGCACGTGCCCTCCCAATTTCCCATGCTTGTTTTAATTCCAGAGAAAGTCAGAAGTTCTTTAAACCATGGTATAAGTGATGCAAGATTCTCCTAATCTTGGGGACCCAGCTTTTTTTTTTTTTTTTACATTTAAACAAAAAGCTGAAAAAGTGAGCTAAGCCTCAGCACCCTCTCTCAGAGCAGGCTTCCCCAGCCGCTGCCCACGCCTTCCTGAGTTTGTTTAAAATCTTAAGGACTAGAAACTTGGGGAGGAGGTATTTTTTTTTAACAAGATGCTGCGTTTCTAAGCCCAGCCTTACCTCACTGTTATAGATTGCATAGACCAGGAATATGTAGAGGCCCTGTAAATAAAAGAAAAAACAAACACAGACAAGCTAAAGAGGTATTGATGTGGAAAGGTTATTGTTTTAGCTGCTATAAAGGCCGGATGTGAGTTTTTTCTCTTCTCCCCAGCAGCCATTCCATTAGGCTGCAGCTGGAAAATGACAGAAAACTCAGCCGAGAAGCTGACGATTTCTGCCTCTTCTTCCTTTTGAAAGGTGCCCATTCCGGCTGCCCACGATGAAAAGATCAACGGTCTCGGTCTGCGTGACAGAATTACAGCTTGGCATCATATTAACCGAAGAATCAGGGGCTGCTTTTCTTGTGACACCCCCGTGCTTGCGGGTCACGTTTGGAAGACAGAAAACCTCCATTTGAAAGCGAAATAATAACGTTTTGCAACCTAAGTGACATATTCAGGGGGGACGGGAGGAGACGTGGAATACATCTTTTAAAAGAGAGTGGTTCAATTGCTCTTTTTTTTTGCAGAGCGCCCATCTTCAGCTGCTGTGCACACACCTTTGGGACGGTTTCAGAAAAAAAGATCTCGGCTTTTGGATGAGACTCAGGTAGAGGGGGGCTTCACGCCTCGGAAAGGCAGGTTCTAGCTGAAATCTACTGCTCTCCACGGATTCAGACGGGGAAGCCAGAAACTGTAGGCAGAAATGCAAACCCCAAATCTTCACTTTCCCAAGCGGGCTTGCAACGGTTTTCAGACAAGCGGCTCTGATGGAGCTAGAAACGTCTCCATCTAGAGGCTAAAAGCTGTGCAAAGTTTATAGGCCAAGGGTAGAGTAGATGAGGGTTTTATTGTGCAATTGCTATGCCTCATTCCTGGAATTTTACTAGGGGTCCAGATAACTCTCTTGCATTTTCTACGTCCTTTTCTCTTTTTTTTATTTCCACCCAAAAACTGCATTCAGAGGAAAGAGGACAATTGTACAACCGTTTTGAATGCAGCTGAAACTAAACACGTTTCCTTAGAACCAATTTTTTATTCCCCCCTCCCCGAAAAATATTTTATACAATTTGGAAAGCTTGTCCTTGGTCCTCAGGAGATAAGTATTTAAGAAGTCAGTGACAGAAGTAGTTTGTCTTATATTCTGAAGAAGAAAAGTGAAATTTTGCTGGTTTCCATTCGGTCATGAAATGCAGGCTCGAGTTAAGAGCGTTGATTAATTCTGTGGTGTTTTATTATTAACTGTTGAGGACTTACTTCTAAGAGGTTATTTTCCTTTATTATAAACAACAGTCCTTTATTCCAGGAAATGGGCCTTTAGATTTACTTAATTACTTTCTTGGTTTTGCTCTTGAATTTTCCTTTGTAAAGCAAAATTCTAACCAGAAACAATTTCTTTTCCCCCCTCGTGAATTCTTTCAGCTTTGTCCCTTTCTCAGCTTGATCCTTTATTTTCCCCAAGAAAACAGGGTCCCTGTCATGGAAAGCCTTCACAGATTTAGTGCTAGCTTGGTGTGGACTTCACACAGAAATCTTTCTGTTTCAAACGGAAGGGAATTGTTTTAAAATTGCCCATTTTCCAGAGAGGGAACTGAAGCTGAGCAGGACATACAAAGTCCATGACAGAAGTTTAGGAAGACTGCAAAACTCTCGTCGTGGCAGTTTATATCCTCTGAGCTTGAGACCTAATGATGTGCCCGTTTTTCATATATTTATGCAATGAGTTCTTGTTGAAAACTCCATGCCAGGTGATCCCTCTTAATTGCTTTGGAGATCTGTGAGTTCTGCTTTTTGGAACGAGAAATGACTCCCTTTTCGAAGCTGATAGACCTCTACCACCATGCTCCCCCCCCCCCGTGCCCTCGAGTCTTTGCCCTTGCTCAGGGTGGGGCCTTGTACCCTCTTTGTTCAGAATTTCATTTCCCAGCTATAAATCAACCCTGCTTTACCCTCTGAGCATCTTCCTCCAATAGTTGGCTCTGGGTTTTTTTTAATCTGATTGGGCTTCGCTTCCCCAAGTTCCCCCTCGTTCAGCTATCGCAAAACTTTGCAGCTGACGCATTAATTGCAGCTGGTATCGCTGCAAGCCGCAGGGCTCCCACGCAGGTGGGGGAAGGGGCCGCGCACCCTGTTGCACTCTCTGCAGATGGAAAGAGGCGTCACGGGTGGGGAAACCGGACACATGCGTGTGTACACACTCACACTCTCTCCCCCTCTCCTGCCTCTGGTTGGTTCAGCCTGTTTGCATCCACCTGGGTCTTATACAGTGGGGTCTTTAAGGGGGAGGCAGGCTGGCATCCAGGGCCTGTAAATATTGGTCTGTCTTTTCCAGGAGCAATTACCTCCTTGTGCAAAGTTGCAGCAATTAACTCCTGTTTTGTTCCATACAATCTTTCCCTGGCAGTTGAGGAAACACTCAACTGTTCTTGCTGGTTTCTCATTCATGGGTTGTTGTGCATTTCACTTTGGATCACAGGAAGATAACGGGGTTTCCATGGGGGGGGGGGGGTGGGGGAGAGATTGCTAGCTAGTTGGGGGGAGGAGGAAGGAAGACTTTCCCAAGTATAATATTTAATTAGCCAGCTGCAAAAGAATTT